AAAATGCCACAGTAAATTATACAAATTCTTTTATATATTCAATTTTGTTCCATTATCTACCTATTTCAAACAAGAACCTCTTTTTTTTTTTTTTTTGGTGAGGAAGACTAACCCTGAGCTAACATCTGTTGTCAATCTTCCTCTTTTTGCCTGAGGAAGATTGTTCCTAAGCTAACATCTGTGCTAATCTTCCTCTTTTTTATACATGGGACGCTGCCACAGCATAGCTTGATCAGCGGTGTGTAGGTCCATGCCTGGGATCCGAACTCATGAACCCCGGGTTGCTGAAGCAGAGCACATGAATTTAACCACTACACCACTGGGCCAGCCCCCAGAACCTCATTGTTTTAATTACTGTAGCTGTGTACATGTTAATATCTGCTAGAGTGACCCCTCTTTAGTGCTTTGTTTTTTTCCCCAAAATTTCTGGATAATCTCCTGTTTTTATTTTTTCAGATGAGCTTTGGAATCATTTTATTAAATTCTACCCCCATCCCAAAGAACCTTAGGGATTTTTATTGTAACTGTGTCAGATGTTCAGATTAATTTAGCTGAAGTTAATAGCTTTACAGTTGTATATCTTTCCATATAGCTACAAACATGACTTTGTGTCTATCTATTTAAACCTTCCTTTATGTCCCACTGTAAAATGTTGCAATTACCACCATAGAGGTACCATGCAACTCTTATTAAATATATTTCTAATAATTGTATCTTTTAATTCTCATTGTGAATGGGATGTTACCATTGTTTTTTTCTAACTGATTGTTGCTAACATTTAGGAAAGCTATTGTTTTTTTTTTTAATTAACTGAATTTTACAATTTGCCATCTTGTTGAACAGGTTTAGTTTTCATAGTTTTTCTTTTGATTCTCTTAAATTTGTTAGGTGGGCAATTATATTATTGGCAAATGATGATGCTCTTGCCTCTTCCTTTTCAATACACATGCTTCCTAGTTATTTTTCTTATCGTATTGCTTTGGCTGGAACTTCCAAAAAAGGTTGAATATTAGGAATAATAACAATAATATCAGGCAATCTTGTCTTATTTCCATTTCCAGGGTTTCACCATTAAGTTTCACATTAGCCATTAGCATCCAATAGATATCCTTTATTATGTTGAGGATATATTCTCTTCCAGTTTATTATAATAAGTTTAGTTTTAAAGATAAATTTGAGGGGTGTGGGAGTGTCCAGTTGGGATATCAAGCCAAGGGAAGAGATCTAATCAGGGCTTTCAATATCATATATGAGAATTGAAATTATGACAGTAAGTGTAAAGTTATGAGAACAGATAAGCTCACTCCTGGAAAGTGTATAAAAATGGTAAAGAAAGATCAAATAGGATGAGGAGTGAAAATAAGCTACTCAATTCTATTATTCTTAGGTCATTGGTAATTATTAACCCTGTTGAGAGAGGATTGAATGCCATACATTGTAAAGGCAAAAGCCAAATTAGAGGAAAATCTGAAAAATACATATCCAGAAAACAGAAATGCCACTATAAATGACTGTTTCAAGTAGATTCATAGTAAGGGGCATGGACTGGCAGCTTCAGCAGGAAGAAGGGGCAGAGGATGAGATAAGCCTTGTTGACAGAAGAAAAAAAGGGTTGAAAACAAAGGAGAAGGGGACTAGTTGGTGGATACGGATGGTGGTGGGATGGCGGGAAGGTCTGTGGTCAGTAGGAGACAATCTAGATCACAGAGTGAGAGATTAGCTTTAGAAAGGAAGGTGGGTGGGGAAGGAGAGATTATTCTTCTGAGAGAAGAGAAAAGGTTCTTTCACTTCCAGCCTACCCTTGCAAGTTTATCACAAGCCTAGGACATCCACTCCCTGCTCACAATTTAATAAAACACTGGGTCACACTTGTGTTGACATGTGTGTATGTGAGAGAGTGAGTGAGTGTGTGGGAGTGTGTGTGCCTATGTGAGAGAGAGAGAGAGAGACAGGGACTGTGTGGGAAAAGGCCACTTTCTGGGCTGACAACGTGAGTAACCTGCAACTCCCTGTACCTCTGGCAGAAAGTTGAGGAGTTGCTAAACAGCTAAACAATTCACTCATCCAATGGCTTCTACTGACTTCCAGAAAGCAGGCATATCAGTGAATTATGTATTACTTTGCTAGAGTACAACATATGCCTATTTCCACTAGAGAAATTCCTTGGGAGTTCCCTACCTCCTCTTTATAATTGTACCACCTAAAGACATCTGTCTGAATTCCTTTTCAGTGAGGAAACTTTGAAAAGATTACATAGGAATAAAATACTATAGTTTGTAAATTTGAGTTTTCTCCTTCATCTCTTCCATCTCCACCCATCACCTCAAATGATTGCTTTTACGATTAAACCGATCTTTCCTGAGATCATTAAACACATCTTGAAGCCTGGAATAAAATTTCCAAGATTTTACAAAGGAGAAAGCAGTCCCTCTCCTGCTTCTTCTTCTCCACTTTCTTTGTCACCAGATGCTGCTTTCAGTAACTCGGAAGGGCCTGCTTCCTCTAGGAAATTGGTCCTTAATATTCAAAGAGCATGTTGCCCCTGTGTTGTGGGCCCTTCATGTTGGTTGTCCTCAAGACACACTACAGAAGGGACTTCTGTGTGCCCTTATAGCTTGTAGGATCCTTGGATGCAAAAAACCCATTTTGCGTTTAACCCAAAACAGCTCACTGATACAAAATTCTATGAATGTTGTGTATATACTTGTAAAAACTATATATGTAAAAAAATCCAGAAAAGTATACCGTTGTCTATTTAAACATTAAACTATTAATATTTTACATATTAGAGTTAATGAGATTATGACTGTTATAATTAAACATATATAAATAGAACAACTAGCTGAGTTGCCTTCTCAGTATCTACATTTTTCCCCAGTACAAAATGACCCTAGACTTATTTCTTAAATTTCACCCCACTCTTGATATGAGCCACTCTGAATTGAACACTTCTCTGAGGGAACGGAGTAGAATTAGTCCCTTTTTAGGAGAAAAAATAACAATGTTTAAATTTTAGTTCACTGGTGAAGCATGATAATTTCCCAATTTTGTGTAACATGCACGTTTTCTTTTTAGACTTTGACTTTACACAGTGCGTGTATGTGTGTGTGTACATATATATGTACATGTATGTAAATACTCATCTTTGTATCCAGCTTTTGTCATATGTGATATTTTGATCATTTCTTTATATCATAAAAATGTCGGTAATGTTATTTTGATCACTTTGTAATATTCTCTGTTATAGATATATTAATTATTTTACTATACCTCTTTTATTGTACATTTAGAGTATTTTAAATATTTTACTATTAAAAATAGTACTCTGAGAAACATCACTGCCCTTAAACCATTGTTTTCATCCTGGCTTTTTTCTAAAGGTAGATTCCTAGTAATAGAATTATAGACTCAAATGCTGTGTTAAAGGCCCCTGATGCATGTTGCCAGTGCCTTGAAAATAGGCCGTACCAGTTCATGCCACTTTCATGGTCACCAGCATTGAGCAGCACCATGTTTCTTTCTTTTCCTTTTTTAAATGAACTCCTTCAGGTATAGAAAAAAGTTACAGAGAATGTAATCAAAGCCACGTACTCAACACCCAGCTAAAGAAATCAAACGTTAGGAGTAGCTGTGAAGCCCCCATCACATTCCCCTCACCTTCCTTCAAGTGTTACCCTCTTTCCTGAATGTGGTTTTATCATTCTTGCACGCATATCTCTACTTTTACTGCACTAGCATTTCTTAGACATGTACGAATGTGACAGATGACAGAACAAGATTGCATTGTTGATTTAATTAGTATTTCTGTGGTTACTTGTGAGTTTGAACACATTTCATGTTTTTTGGCCACTCCAAGTTCCTCTTATGTGAATTGTCTGTCCCTTTTAAAATTGGCCTTTGGTTTTTTCCTTGTCAATTTCCATGTCCTTTATATATTAAGGAGATCAACCTTTAGACATATTTGTGGAAAACGTTTTATTTGTTGTCTTTTAATTCTGTTTAAGATGATTTTTGAAGCACAGAAATTAAAGTACAAAACAGCTATGAATCTTTTTATATTAACTTCATCCATTACTTTCATGCTCATAAAATCCTTCTATGTCCAGAGTCCACATAATCATATGATTTTCTACTAGCTTCTTTTGTATAATTTTGTAAAGCCAGGCACCTACTCTGTGCTTAACTTTTAGATGCTACTGGGACAAGAATGAGCTTTTATATGCCTATGCGTATTCCCCTCTTCCAGTCAAATGTAAACATTTTAAGGGCAAGAACCCTTTCTTATTCTTTTCTCCAACTCCACGCCCAGTATTGGCCCTCCGGGAAAATAGAAATTGCTAGTATATGTTTGTTAAATAAGGAAATGACCATAGTATTCATATTTTGCCCACATCCATCTTAGTGAAAACATTTTATGACCCTTTTGAAATCTATCCGGGAGCATTTTCTTTCTTCCTACCTCCTCTTACCCCTTTGGTGTTTCATTATATTAAATAACTTTAAGTAAAATTGCTTACTTGCTTTATTTAAAAATAAACTCCATTTCTAATTAGAGATGCAAAATATTTTTATACAGAAAAACACAAAATTAAACACGAAGAAAAAAATTAACAGCATATTTCTTCCAACCCAGAGACAACAACTTGTTGAATAATCTAACCCAATTCTGTGCATAGATTTGTGATTTATATGTGGATAGAGAGAAACTGTCTCTAGTGAGATGACACATAGATGAAATAGATAAGATGATAGATACGTAGAGATTGTTTAAGTTATGCAACCAACTGATTTGAAGTTGGAATTTCCTTGTCTTTTATAGCATTTATTTTTTCTTAAACTCTGAATGCTACATTCTGAGTTAATGAAAATATGAATTTTTAACATATCCAGAGGAGAAATGAATATTCCCAGGTAACACTTAGAATTTGCGCGCCAGGTTGGTTTCAGGGAGCTTTTGCATATTCAGGAAGGTGGGTGAAATTCACATCTAAAATTTGTACCTTACTCACGACCCAACTCCAGGTTTCTCACTGGCATCTTCAACAACTGAATGGTGGTGCCTCATTGCATCCGTCTCAGAAATCACCCTTCGTGGTTCTTACCACTGCTCCGTGTTGAAACATATTCCCAGGGAAAGGTCTGATGCCAGGATGCACAACATCAGTTTGAAGTTTGTAAAGCCTAGTGCATTGGCAACCAGGCTCTTATTACACGGTTCAAACAAACAAAAGAAAACTGAAGTAAACATTCATGTCACCTCTTTCTTGGGGAAATGTTTTTTTATTGCATAACCACCTCCTTCTCCCAAAGAAATTAGATTTTTAAAAATATGTTTAAATAGCAACAAGATTGTGATTCCTCTTGATAACAGTCAGGAAATTAAAAGTTAAGCCCGATGCTCTCTCCTTAACTTGGACTGTTCTGGCTTTTTCCTCTGTATGTTTATGAGTTTAACAGCTGAACTTTCTGTTTCCTGACTGATCTTCACTTATGTCATGACTTTGTTGAAATAAGACTTTAAAACATCTTTAATGGGTCCAGCCTCGTGGTGCAGAGGTTAAGTTCACATGTTCCGCTTTGGCGGCCGGGGGATTCACTGGTTTGGATCCCGGGTACAAACCTGCACACCGCTTGGCAAGCCATGCTGTGGCAGGCGTCCCACATATAAGGTAGAGGAAGATGGGCACAGATGTTAGCTCAGGGCCAATCTTCCTCAGCAATGAAAGGAGGATTGGAGGCAGATGTTGGCTCAGGGCTAACCTTCCTTAAAAAAAAAAAATCATTAATGAGCTGCTCTTCCTGGTCAAAATGTGGTGGCAGGCCCATGCCTTAGATTTGGTCTTTTCCAATTTGCTGTCTGTCTCCTTTTCCATTCATAGGTGCAGGATTCAGTGGAAACTATTACCTTGAAGATACTGAGCAGCACCTAACATCATTTGCTAATGCAAAATTGTCTTTCCTCACTTTATGGCAAGGTGCAGTTGACATTTGAGTCATTATGCATTTAATTTCATTTACGGGAAATAAACACTATAGGTGAAGTGAGATCCCCAGATAAAACCTGTTTCTTCTGAGAGCGGAATGGCCCCCTCCAAGTGATCAAATTAGCTTCCAGCTTCCCTCTTGACCACATAAGGGGCTTTTTTGGAGGTGGAATTAAAATTGGAGACCTTCATTTGTCTTGATTTTCTTGCTAAATGTAAACCGTTTCAAAGAAGGTTGAAATGAGACTAACATTTTCCGAAGTGTCTACCTTTCAGTCTCACTGAAGAAAACCTCTGGAATTTTTTTCACTGTGCTGAAATATCATGACACCTGTCTAGACCAATTAGAGAGAGAGAGTGGTTGAGACTCTGCAATAGAAATGATGGATGTGCTGGGGATGGTTTTAGTGACTCATTAGCCAAATGCTACGAAGATATAAAAGTTTTTGTGGTTTTTATTTTCATTTACATCAAGAGCCTGCTTAAACCTGTGCCATCCTCTCCATTACCTCTTTCTTGTGCAGTTGAAAGAAACGATCTATTGAAACCACCCCACATGCCTTGCATTTAGTATGCAACCTGTCTCCTTGCCTGTGTCTTTTTATTTATCCCAATCATATTTCTAACTAGTGGGATTTCCAAACTGGAGGAGGAAAGTGGCAGGAACTTAAGTATGCCTTAAATTCATCTGTGTATGTCCATTTCCCAAGCACAAGTGATGGACACACTACGGGATTTTTTTTCCTTTTCATTTCTTTTGAACTTCATATCACTTTATGGGGTTTGGCTTGCTTTGTCTTTTACTACCCTCACCCAGCCTCTGTCTTCTCATTCCCTCCTGTGATTGGCCCTGTGGCAGGCACATCTTTCTTTGGTGCCTTGGAACACACTAGCCCTTTATTCATATTAAGTCCACAATATCATAAATGAAATTTCACTTTGGGTGTCGAGGTTGCCCTGCTTGTAATATGAATCATAAACACCAGCGATGCAATTTTAAGAAGCTGATTTTTTTTTTCCCAAGAAGGAAGGAAAATAAAATCTGAATTTGCTAGAATCCGACTACGCTCCACCTCCTTGCTTACTTACTCTGAACAAAGGCTGGGCAATCTCAATCCTTCTGAATACGGTATGAAATTCCAGGCAGCATACAGAGCACGCATGGAAACTGAATGTGCAGCAGGAGATGGATGGCACCGCTCGCAGTATTTACGTATCAGCGGCCTTGTTTGTGCACACACACATGCGGCACACGGGAGGTGGGAGGAATGGCTGGCTATTGGTACAGATTTATATTTCCCATCACTGCTGTCTATCCTTTGGGATCAACTTTGTCACGGGAACACCGGCGGGGGTTTATTACAGTGTGTGACAGCAGGTGTGGGGCTGTGTGTGCATTGTAGATTCATTGTCCTCCTGGATCAGGATTTATACAGCCACACACCCCTTCTTTCCAAGAGCTTACTTGGTGCACAGACATTCCTATATCTGCAGCACTGGATCCCGCACAATGGCCCTTGAGCCAGTGGCAGGACCCTACGAATCTCTGCCAGGGCTGGGAGCACATTCAACCAAATTAGGTTCTAAACGCTTTCTGCTTTTCATTTTAAAATTTAGATTATTTAAGAGACACAAATGCAACTGAAAGAAATAGACTCACAATGCAACAAGAAATTCAGAGGTTTACCAATGTGACTCAGAACAATTAAAATGGACATATATGCTTTCTAAAGCTGTAAATTTAATCAAATTGAGCGGTAATTTATTGATTATCTACTACAGGCAAGACAGGCCTAGTACATGGTATTATAAGGAGCACAAGAGAGTTTCTAGATTTCATAAAATTCGGCTTCTCAGGATACAAATGATACAACTCCCCTCCCATCCCCCTGGACCCCTTGTTTTCTGGTGAAGAAATCTTGTTTAGGATCAAATGTAAGCTCATTTGGGCCAGAGCCCTGTTTGGCAGACTATTTTTCCAAGTTTGAAAAATAGGGATGCTTTATAAATGGATACTTTGTCTCAAAATAAGTAGATCCATAAATTTAAACTCCAGGAATCATCTAATTGTTTATAGCTGAGAGAAGAATTAAAAAATATGCTGAGGGGGGAATTAAAGTAATAATAATTTTTAAAAAATTGTAAGACACAATGATTTATTTGATAATGAAGAAAGTTTATAAATTGCTTTCCTTAGTCCTAGATATGTGATCAAAGAAGGAAGGAGTTGGAGGTAGCATTTTGGGTAGTTATTAAGTAGAATATTACATAGATATTTCCCATTTCTGGGCATTGTGCTAGGCACTGGATACCAAAATCACCAAGATAAAAATCCTTGACTTCAAGAAACCTATAACTCTGGGGATACGTTGCACTAGCCCCTTAGCTTATCCTTCTTTGTTCCCACCAACAGCTGTTTTCTTAAAGTATGTCAAGTGTTTCCCATATGTGATCATTAATATGAACAAATGGTTTAGCAAGATCCCCATCACAGGTTTATGCAAGATTCTTCATTCAAAGGAACTTAAATCACAGGTTTCTCTTGACAAGCTGATCAGTAAGGTTTTGAGTTGTTCCTACCTCTGTGCCTCAAATTTTCTAGCTTAAAAAGGATGCTAAGGAGTTTGTGATATTCTCTTGCACTTTAGCAACACACTGATCTACTGAAACTAATCTGATTGTATCTTTCCTTAGCACAGCATATAAGACCCTTCTTGATATGGGCCCTGTCTACCTCTTCATTTTTATCTCTTCTTCCTTCTGCCTGTCCCCAAATTCTAGCCATCATAAACTGCTTGGAGCTCCTGTATTCACTCTGCTATTGCCTACATCTGTATCTGTGTATATGTCTTGTCCCCTAACCTTTTGTGAAATTTCCTCTGCTCCACTGTTCTCCCCATTTGGCACATCCACTATCTCCTTCAAAACTTTGTATATACTTCTATTTTATCATCATAACCGGATATTATTTTTGTTTTCACGTCAGTCTCCTCTATCACATGATGATAAATTTTTTGATGCAGGGAACAAAGATATTTATGGCTACATCAGAAGTATATGATGAAATTCCTCTTTATCCCTTTATCCCCTACACCAAGCACAGAGCCTGGCACAAAGCAGGTTCTGGATAAATATTAATTGGGCTAAATGTTGAGGGAGACTGTGCAAGTTATGTGAAATGACCAGAAAAGAAAACAAAGCATTAGTATCTTATAAAGGTGGTGAGCCCCAAATATGAGCGTCACCATGGTTTAGAGGAGCGGAAAGAAGGTGAAGAGCAAGAGGGTTTCTGAGTCTTCTAGGAAAGCAGAGAGCCCGAGAGGACATGAAAGGTAGGAAGAGTGTTTGGCAGGTGGAAAGGAAGGGTGGCATTCCAGAGAAAAACAGCACTGGCAGCAAAGGGCAGTAGACCATTCCTAGTCACATAGCCTAGATTTTGTAGGTAGTTCTCATTTCATGTCACTCAATTCTGTTTAATGAAGGCCGTTCATCAAATGAACATCTAAACGTAATTTAATTTTCATGTCTTTGTGGGCCTCATCATATAAATAGATTGACAGATCAGAATATATATCCTGGTTTTAGATTGGAAAATATGGGCACAAGTTTCCCATGTAAATTTGCATTTAAAGCTGGAAATCTGCTGTGGAGGGCAAATGGGTTCAAGAAAACCAAACCCATGGCATTTTCTTGCATGGCTTTGCTTTGGTCGATGATCCCTGTTCAACTGCTTCCATCCTGGATATAGGAGACGATTAGATCTCCCTGCCCAACACAAAGTCAAAACTAGCAAACTTGTTATATGATATGTCAAATATATTATTTGGTCTTATGCTAATGTCATTTAAGAATTTTATATCATGGAGAACAGGGAGCTTTTAGAGGCTTACTAGTCAGTGGTTCCAGGATCACTAGCGTCACTTGAGAACTTAGAAATGCAGAGCCCTGGACCCAATCCTAGACCTAATGGATCAGAGTCTTCATTTGAACAAGCTCCCAAGTGATGCGAAGGCTCCTGGTCTTCAGACTATACTTTGAATAGTGAGACTTGCAGCCTTTTTCCACTAGCTTTTCTCGTCTGAAACACAAAAACACAGAAAATGATTTGAGAGGATATTTTCTCAATCTCTCAAAATTAGTACATTCTAGATGCAGAGGTAAAAAGTTAATTCATAACATACAATGTGTGCCTTGGAAGATAAGGGCTTAATTCTCTTGTGGATCCCCAATCTGGAAAGGCATCCTGAATCCCAGACTTGAAGGAGAATTCAGGTTGATTCTGTTACGTGTAAACTTCGTGAAGTGTGAACACGTTGCACTAGGCAGATGTGAGCTGTGATCTTACTGTGAGATGTGTGCCTTCTCGTTAGTGACTTGTTTATTTTTATTCTGAATTATCAGACAACAGAACTAGCTCCTTACAAATGGCAACATTCTAAACATTTAGCAGATTTTGCATGCCTGATTTACAGACCCAAATTGTGCAAATCTAGCTGTGGCAGAGTTAAGCAAATAAAAGCACGGTACATGTTTTCCATAGCTCCATACATATATTGTATTTAAATGACTTCAGAATCTAGAGACATTTTTCTCAGA